ATGCCTTTCTATGATAAAACGTATTTACTCGATAAAGATAATTATGTGGAACATCTATTTTTAGACAAATCAACCATAAAGTTTAATTCAGAATTTAGATTCGATATTGTTAAACTATTATCTTTAGATAATTGTGATCTAAAGGATATTGACATAGAACATTTCATCAAACTTAAAGAATTAAATATTACTGAATACAGTAATCTTGATTTATCAGAAATTATTGCGTTACCAATCGAATGCACTATCTTTTCTGATTGTAATTTATTGTTAAGAGATGTTTATCCAATTTTACATAAAATTTACTACTTAAGAAAAATAATTATAATAAGTAATTTATATTGTAGTGATGATGTTGAATTTATTGATGAAATTGAATATTTTTATTCATTAGATGAAGTTAGTAAAATTATGAAACCTCATATTGGTAGTGTTAGAAAACCTTTCTATTTGAAAACATTAATAGTAAATAATCTACCAATGATTGGAATTCGGATCTAATTATTGATAAACATATCGAATTTAGACTTTGGGCAAGAATTACTATATTCAACTTGTAGATAAACTTGTTGCTGAATTTGCTGATGAAACTGTATCTGCTTCTTGAATTTCAGATCTATAGAATTTTATTTCTTTCTTCTTCGGCATATTTTTCAAAAAATTTTTTTAAAATGTGCTTTAGTGCAAGTTTGTAAAACTTCTACATGGGTTCTATAAACTAACATACTTTAAAACTAGATTCTTAAGAAAAAAAAAAAAAGATTTTGATTACTTACCTAGTTAAAATTAGAGTAAGGAGTGTTAGAGTTCAAGCAAATTTTATATCTTCCTACCATTTTTTATGTATATCTTGCATTTTTCACTTTTTTTCTTTGTGTTAGATTGATTGGCCATTAGCGTTAGTCTTGTGAATCTGGCTTTAGACCTTCTAAAAAGGTAATTATTCTATGAATAGATTTTATTCAATCACTACGTATTGATTCTAATGTTCTATTTGATACCAATAGAAATTTTTATTGATAGAATTTTTAATTAAATATGAAAATTCAAAATTTTAGATGATAGTATATATTTCTTGTATCACATAGCACTCTGGGCCACTTCCTAGCTTTTAACGTTATGAAGTTACTGAACAATTTGATTCACATTAGGTAAGTTAATATAGACAGCCAATGATTCTATTTATAAATTTGTTTTAACATCTGACCTACTTTAAGGGTCAATCTTGACGATACGAATACTTTTAGTGCTAATAGAAGATTTAATTGTTATCTTAATAAATTCTGAAAATAAAATATTCATACTAAATTTAGACTCTTTATCATAAACAATCAGAAACAGAAACTTTACGAATAGCAATTAAGTCAATCAATATCTTTGATAAATAACTTTCTTATTTAATAAATAACTATAGTCAACTTTATTAGGCAAGGACTCTTTTACTTTTGAATTTGCATCTTTTTTATTTTGGTTAGTGTTAGAAATTTTTATAAAATAAAGTTGAACTCTTGTACAGTAAATTATGTATTATAATTTGACTTCAATTCACTTTCAAATATATCATCCATCACCTGTAAGTAAATTGCGAAGAGAAAAAAATTTATTTGTTTCAGCTTTCTGTTACCTACTAAAGAGTTATATTTATTCATTATTTCAAAAATAAAAATTGTATAGCCACAAATCTTAGTGTTAAATTTCCTTTAGTTTTAAAAAAAACCAAACCTCAGAAAAAAATTCAAAAATTTCAATGTAAATGCAATCAATGGAAAGAAGAAAATGAAACAATTAAGGAAATTGCAAATAATTTGCCTGACATAATGAATAGTAAAAGCAGAATACCAAAAATAGATATTTTGAGGATTGCACTTGAATATATTAAAAATTCTAATCAAGAAATGCAAAGAGTTCAAAATGAAAATGAAATGCTACATAATGAGAGAAACTTTTATTTATTTTATAACAATTATGGATATAATTTTTTATAATAATAATTAGTTTTCATTAACTTTCATCTTACCATTAAATTAAGTTTACGAATTAAACTTCATATAGCAATGATAAGATTTATTTTTTGTTAAAATGTAAAAACCTAGAGTACTTTGGAAAACGAAATAAAAAAACTTCAATTTATGAATTTTATAGATTTTATAATTAATTTAAAATCAATTGTGAAATAACAGGCATAATAACGTGCACCCACATTGGGGTTTCAAAAAATTTATAACAGAACAGAATTGGGAAATTTTATCTTTGACGCCCATGTGCATATACTAAATAACGCACGCATATAACTCAAAATATACTTTTAATTATTTCAATATTAACTCCTTACTGAAAATTTTATAATTTTAAGAAAAAAAT